TTAAAGGAGTCCCCTAAACTGAGCTCTTTTATTTTACTTCTGAAACCTGACGCGTAAATTAACAACTACTTTTTTTTTTTTTTTTGTCTTTCTTAATTAATTTTGATTAAATTATTATTATTTTTTCTTCATAAATATAAATTAATTAAAACATTTGAAAAATGAAATTAATTTAAAATTTATATTAAAAATTACGAGAAATTAAAGGCTCTGCTTTCCAAGAAAAGGATATTTTATTTTTTTTTATAGGTTTTCTGGTTACTTCTTCTGGGACTTTATGGGCTTTGAAGTGGGACCCACAGTCCGCTGTCAACGACCACATTGCCATAAATGAGGGCACCCATTGGGCCGATTTTGATGGGCCGGGCCCAGGCCTTTTTAATAGTGGGGGCAAAAAATCAAATTCGGTTTTTTTTTTTAATATTTTTTTTTGTGTATTTATTTATTTTATTCCCACGAGGAATAAAAACAGTAGACAAAAAATTATATTGGGAGCCATGCCCAAATGATGAGGGCAATTAATTTCCATGGGAATAAAAATAATATTTCTGGCTTTTTTTTGTTTTAATAATAATAATAAGAATAAGAGAAAGGCATATTAAGAATTATAGCGGAATGCATCAATAAGAATATATAAATGTTTTTCGTATATATCTAAAGTTTTCATTTTTTGATAATTTGTTAACTAGCTGCTAAAAATGTTGATAATATCAAATAATCTTTTACGTCTTTAGATTAATGGGAGATTGTTATCACAGCGCCAAAGTCTCGAAGATAACGTACAATTTTCGTAGAACGATGAGTAACAAGAATATCTTGTAATAATATGCTTAAATGAAAAGGGTATTGTTCTAAATTTTCCATAATGTTGCAATTTTATTTGATGCTTTCTTCTTTTATTGCTCAGACATTCTTGTTCTAACCTCTCCCATTGAGATTTTATGCAAAATTTGGTAAGGTTTTACTGAACGCACGGGAATCACCATAAAGCATTGGATGCCATTTTGCCACATCAACTTTCTGAATCCATCGAGCTCCTACCCATCATGACATTTGAAAATAAATAAATAAATAAATTTGGAGATATTAAGCAAAAGATATTTCAATCCATGAAATCCACCACTATAAACACTTTTCCCATTTATTGCGTTTTTAGTTCTATAAACTAAAGCAACAAAGGTTGAAGAGGGGGGACATGGGAAACTTTTTCCCTCTGCAAGCTTCCACTGAAAAAGATTGTTCACTTTTTTCGTTGCCTGCAAATTACAATCGATGAGCTTCATCCTTCTGTGTATACAAATCGAGGGTACAGAAAATAATCAATAATTGCACTCTCAAAAAGAGAGAGAGGGAGAGAGCGAACACTTTTATTCATGTGATTTATGTGCTAACGCACGATTACGACTAGTTAAACCACTAATTTGGAACATTAACTTCTCTCAAAACTTTAGCTGCATCCTCAGGGAAAACAGGATTTATGTAACATCCTGTTCCAATCTCAAAGCCCCCTACAACACCCAGCTGAGGCACTATCTGTAAGAACCAGTGATAGTATGGTAACTGCGAGTCTGTAACTTTAAGGGGAGAAGTGTGAATCGCGAAATTGAATGGTGGATTATTTAACTGAACAGACATCTTTCTTAGCATGAGTTTCAACAATCCTCCAAGATCGACTGCCTGCAAGATTCGACATAAACTTACAAATCATGAAAAAAAAGGATGAATCCAAGAAAGATTTAATTTTTAAAGTAGCAGTATTGGCAAAATGGAACTAATCCTTTCTACAGCTTCCTTATCCATACAAAACCTTTAGTTTTTGTTTATGTTTTAATATCAGAACCCTTTTTTCTTTCCTCATCAATAATAATTCAGAGCTCATAACTCATAACTCCACTTTTTTATCCAACGATAGTTACACGTAACATTCTTCCATTTCGATACAAACACCATATACTGTGCCGTTCCATCTCTGCAGGTCTTTGGAACAATCTATTGCCATTGCTCACATTAATGTAATTACACTGACCCTTTTACCCATTCTTTAGGTGGTTACTAGTTGTCACAATTTCAAGCAGCAAAGCATTCAAGTTTGCATTTGGAAGTTTAAAGCCATTCTTCCAAGGGAAATTCTTTAGTGTTCCATCTAATAACAAACAAGAGACAAAAGCATAAAGTACTTAATCCAATCTAGTTCCCATGAAGTTAATATGCAAGAAAGCAGAAGTGAGAAACAGAAAGCAAGGACGATTTACCTTTTCGACATCCAGATCATGGAAATGAGAAGAGTGATACTGGGGAACAATCCAGATCTCAAATGGAAACGCAGCAGCAAAAGGACAATTGAAATGAAATAGCTTGATTTGTCAATCCCAATGTTCTCTGGTTTAACTTCACAAAGGCTACATCTCCCTGTCTGATCAAAATATTCCTTCATACCATCAAGCCGGGAAGAGACGGTGGGAGGAACAGTTGGGAGATACCGTATCTGGCTGTGAAAGTGACTCGTTGATGCTCCAGCTGATGCTCCGTGGTTCTTGAACACCTTTAAGAGCATTACACAAAACATTATTTACAGATTTCAAATACAGGCGAAAGAAAGGCAATTCACTCAAAAAGCACGCGCTTGTGTATGAATAATGAGAAAGCATGCATGTACAGAAGCAAATATTGGCAGACATGGGTTGATTATAGTGCTTCATGAAAATAGTAAAAATAAAAAACAGGAAATTTTATGTTCATCATTTTAAGTGCCTATTGCCGGGGCTTTTGTTTCTATTTTTACTGCCAGAAGCAAAAATCTAGCCAAACATCAAAGGAAAGAAGCATTTTAGATAAAAAGCAAAATTTGTTTTTGCCTTTTGATAAGGATGAATTACAGCTGAAAGTAGATATTTTTAATATATGACCTGTGATATAGGAAGTAAATAATATTTTAATGTTTCTTAACTTTATGTTTTAATAATTCAATAATTTAATATTTTTATATAAAAAATATAATATTAATTTATTGTTGTTGATTTGTATTTAGTTATAAAGTATTTACATAATTTTATTTTGAAAGAGATATTAAATTAAAATAATTGTTTTTAAATAATTTAAATTATTAGAATAATTTTTTATTATAATGCAACTTTTTTCATTTGAATGTTCATATTAATTTCATAAAATAAATAATTAAAACATGATATTACATTTTTTTTAAATACAAAAGATTCCATGATTAGAAAATATGTGGAACAATCTATCTCGCACTGCTAAAATTCCGGCAGTCAAGAGTTGGTTATGCAGACCAATTTTGTTGTCGCAGCTGTTTTAACTTACCGCCTGGGTAATACTAAACCCAGCCAGTTCGGCCAGCTGCGCATGATATTACAGTTTATTTTGAAAAGAACCAACAATTTTTTCTTATAAGAAACCAATATTCATGAGCATCAAGGGTTGCAATCATATAGAAAAGAAACTTATAGGTCAAACAAAATGTCTATAAGACCTCTTAAGTCCTTGCTAGAATACAACTGGTTACTCTCGAGCAAAAAGCTTAGAGTATAGAACCAATAATCTTTGAGCTGTCAAAATTAGACTCTATATGCTAAAAAATGCTCCTCTTCCTCTCCTCTTTCTCTTCCTCTCCAGTGCCAATGCAAAATTTGCCAGGATGGACAGGGGAAGGTACTCCAATGTTTTAGCTAGGCCACATGGGAAGGGAACGTGGAAAAAGATACGCACGGGAAGAGACATCCGAGAGATATCAAATGGATGATCGGGAACGGGCAAAGAATTGGTTTTTGGAAGGATGTATGGATTGAAGGGGGAGCCTTCAAGGACAGATTTACTCAGATTTTTGCTATACCTAAATACAAGGATATTTTGGTCAAAGAGCCTATAAAGATAGAGGAGGAAGAAATTGCCATGTTGAGGTTTTGAGGAACCTCAACAATTGGGAAATTAGTGAATATGAACAGCTTTTGAGGTCTTTGTGCTCTGTATCTCTCAGCGAGAACCATGATCAACCGGTTTGGTGTCTTAGAACAACAGGGAACTTCACAGTTGGCTCTTTTGTAGACATTTAACAAAATATGAGGTCATTGATAACAATTTCCCATCCAGGCAGATTTGGAAGGTGAATGCACCTCCCAAGATCACTTTTTTTTTGCTTGGGAGGCATGTCGTGGATGTATTTTGATCATAGACAAGTTGATGAGAAGAGGGAAGGCCATGGTAAATTCGTTTTTTTATGTAAGAGAGCAGAAGAGACTTGTGATCACATTCTACATCGATGTCCCATAGCATATAGTTTATGGACAATCGCGTACGGGATCTTGGGATATAGTTGGGTCATGGCAGGTAGTGCAAGAGATGAATTTTAGGCCTGAATGGTATAACTGGGAAGAGAAAACAATTGGGAGTTATACCATTGACAATTTTTTGGGTCTTATGGAAAGAAAGAAACAGGAGAATTTTTGATAGGGTAGAAGAGGATATTAATAAAATTAGAGCGACATGATTTCAGACCCTAGGTTTTTGTGTAGTGGGTCAACTTTTGTACACTATGGAGGAATTTGGGGATTTGATAGATAACATGACTGATTTGTAAATATTTTTGTACATGGGTTTGTACCCCCTTGGTACTTATACTTAATGATAACTTATACTTTTTATTTCAAAAAAAAAAAGAAAAGAAAACTCTCCTCTTTCTCTCATTTTATAGCAATTTTACTGAACCCTATACTGATTTCGCCTCAAAGCTGTTTTTACTAAAAAACTATTTTTGAAGTACCTTTAGCAGCTCATAACATAATCGCTACCTTGACAGAATGAACCAAGAGGGAAATAGGCATATTCATACTAGAAGAAGAGTATGTTTC